CAGTCCTCCTTTCATTTCTGAGAGTTTTAGGGCAAGGAAGTGTACTTTACCTAATTTACGTGGTGGAGCCATGGTATAGCTATATATGATTGTAGCTTGAATGGTCGCCCGGGGAAGGACCACGCTCTCACAGAATACCAGCGTAAAATAGTAGCTTAATGTTGCTGTGTTTCGTATGGTGAGTGTAGAGAACCGGTGACCCTTTTTTACTGGGTAAGAGGCATTCCTCCTTAGTCCTCGAGGGTGACTAAGCATCTACATTTTTATTCTTAAACGAGGTTACATCGATTTACTTATTATTTATTTTCTAGCGACTTCAAAAAGGAGGAGGTACTCATTTCGACTGTATGTTTTTTATGTGTGTTACCTCATAACTTTTTCTGGGTGAATCGATTTTGATGATTCTTTTTTATTTGAAAGCTGATGCTTCTCATGTGGTCCTATATAAATTTGATTTGACAAGGTCTGAACAATAGTTTTTGAGTTATTCTTAATAATTTATATTGAAGTCGGTTGTACAAAATTTTTAATTTTAAATTATATAAAACCAATTACTTATTCAATAAAAAATTAACAAAATGTTAGTCGCGTTTATCGTTGAAATTAAGCAACAGTTCAATGGATTATAATTTATATTTATCCAATCATAATACTCAAACGAGTGACTCTGAATTAAAATTCTAGATTTCAAAGATAATTAAATACTATTTATTCAAATACTAACGAGGGACTGGCTGTGAGCGACTACAAAGTCCGAAACCAGTGACCAATAAACACTAATACTAAACGAGTAGCATTATATAGCATATTGTTTGAGCGACCTAATTTCCGTTTGATTAACAACATTGTCTCGCATTTATTTTAATATTTGGCTAAGATATTTGGCCAATCTTTTTGTTAAACTGAGCAACATTATTCTATAAAAAAAAACATTTTATTTAGAATAAAGAAATAAGTTAAGTAAGTTAAGTACATAATGTGCTCCTCAGATGTAGATAAAGTATAGATAGCCTAATGTTATCGTTTTCATATTACATAAATGTTCGCGGGTTTGGGGTGGCCCGGGCGATCCCGGTCACACCTTATTCTGCTGGTAATTACATTCAGCATTTCTTGTCGCTATTTTATTCGCTCATATTATTATATTAATTATATGACTCTACTAAAATTTTAATACGTATTATGAATTTAATTGTTAACTACTTTCTTGCCTGTTTAAATCTTTTTTCATCAACATTAACATTTACAGCCATTTTGATAAATTTTTCGCAGTAATAATAAAATGCTGCTAAGGCAGTATCACATAGATCATAGAATATCGTTATCAGTCAGCAACAAATATTTCATTCCGCTCTTTTAACAAATTTCCCATAATTATACGTTTGTACTTGATAGGGTAAATTAACTTGCATCCAGAATTGTTTAATCATAAAACTCATTCATTTATATTGCGTTGATCCTAAGTTCAATTAGAATAAACCTAATAAATGTTTGTTATATGGATTAAAGTGGTTTAAGTGAACACAAAAGCCTGTTCATATTCTTTAGGTTTTAGATAATCTAAAGTTCAGCGGAGCTGGCCAAGTTACTATATACAAATATAGAAAACCTCCAGTAGCTCCAGTGTACTCCAAAGATCTTCTGCCGGGAAGAGGCAAATATTTAAGTTGAAGACTACTGATTGGAGCACCATCATTTCCGGGACAAGTGAGCTTCAGAGGTTCAACTGACAGATGTACACGTCGACATTGGTGCCACATGCAAGTATGATATCTCGGACATCAGTCTGAGCGAGAATAGCACCAACACCTTTTACCAGCGAGACGTCGGGAAAAGATGGAATTACAGCAGAGCTTCCGAAAGCGTGTGGTAAAACGATACTTAGTCTTTCAGGAGCTATTTAATTCTGTTTTCCCGCTTTCCTCCTCAGCCACGTCTACGTACTGTTTTCGAGAGTCATTACAAATCGTCTCGCATGCAGACTTAACGACAGGCAACTTCCTGAACAAGCCAGTTTCCGAAATGGCTTTAGCACCATAGAGCATATACATAATCTTTGCCAAATTGTACAGAATACTGAAGAATACAATTAAGGAACCACTTTGTTTTCCGTATTTGAACAATGAGAAAGCCTTTGATTGCGTCGAAATTTGAGCGGTGCTACAGTCGCTTTAGCGAGAGAAGTCAGTCGGCAGATTTAACACAGCTGAGCAGCGTTCAGGAGGTTACGACACATTTTCTTATTATGTACTTATATCTCAAAATTATATAATATTTACGAATGACTCTTATTAAAATCTGCCAAAAACGTGTGCCATGCGGAAGACGTTCGTTTAGGCATCAGTTATTTATGAACTGGTGTCGCAACGCACTTTGCCTGTTTGCTCACCTCGCTATTTAATCTACGCAACATATTATGGATGTAAAAAATGTTTGGTAATAAATATTAATGACATGTGCTAGAAAAAATATTTGGTAGTAGCTTGTCCGTATATAATAAATACATCAAGATTAAAGACTTATCAATAACTTAATTAATATGAATCAGTTTAATTTTTTTATTTCAAAATATATTACAGTAGGATTCTCCCCTGTACCATGGAGGCTATGTTAACTGCACATGGACAATTATTTTTAAGCCGACAAACAATTGTTTCGTGCGAGATTCGAATCCTCAGTGATCCCTCAGCGGCGCATTGGGTTGCGCCGCTGAGGGTGGATTGTGTGCTCGTTCGTCACAGAGTAAGAATGACGAGTACAGAGCACACAGACCGCTCGATGGTAAGTGGATGCTATGGCCCATGTGGTGTATACCTGCCGTTGGATAGGAATCAAAATCGTTTACACCCTTGATGACTGAGATGGTGACCAATGGATAGGGTGAGAGTTAGAGAACAACGGTTAGAGAACAGAGTGAGTAGAGACCCACCATACTAGTTTCGTAATAAAAAATACCAGCATTAAGCTGCTATTTTACGCAAGTAGTATGTAAGGGCGTGGTTCGTTCCCGGTCAAGTCATTCTTTTCGTACAGTAAAATCACAGAAAGGCTGCAGCTTAACTCTACCGTATACGAAATATTGTCGATCAAGATTAAACAATCAATACAATAAATATAAACAATCATCATCATCATCATTACAACTTATTACAAGTTCACTGTTGAACATATAACTCCCCCAAGGAATGCCACAAAGCACGGTCCTTAGCCACCTGCATCCATCGATTTCCTGCATCTCTTACCAGGTCATCACTCCATCTAGTGGGGGGCCGCCATACACTTCGCTTACCTGTACGAGGTTGCTATCTGAAAACCTTTCTTCAACATCGGTTGTCGATTCTTTGAGCTATATGGGAGGCCCATTGCCAATTCAGCTTACTCCGTTTGTCTATAACAGTTATTCTGGTTCTACTGCAGATATCCTCATTTCTAAGTCTATCACGCAGAGAAACCCCGAGCATAGCCCTCTCCATAGCTCGCTGAGCAATCTTGAGCTTCCTCATACGGCCAGCAGTGAAGAACCACGTCTCAGATCAATAAATGATCACTGGCAACACGCACTGAATGTACAATCTCGTTTCCAAGTTTTGAGGACCACCTGACGAGAAGATGTGTCAGAATCTCCCGAACGCTGCTCAGCCGTGTTGAATCCGTCGAAGTTCCTCTCCCTCTTGGTCGAAGTTGGACTTACCTAGTCGGACTATTTGTCCCAGATAAACATACTCGTCAACAACTTCGTGTTTAGTGCTCCCAACAATTACAGGCATAGGTGTGACATGGACGTTACAAATGACCTTTGTTTTATCCATGTTCATCTTAAGACCTATACGTTGGGAGACACTGTATCCTTTCCAGTCCAGTACTTCGATATATTGACAGTCGACTTGGCATCGCTGAAGGGACTGTAGCACCGCCTAAATTTCGACGGAATCAAAGGCTTTCTTTTTCTCGTCTATAACTTCGAGCTTAGTGCTCCACCGGCATATGTGTGATATGGACGTTATACACGATCTTTGTTTTGTGCATGTTCATCTTAAGACTTATCCGTGGGAGGCACTATTCACGTCATTGAGCATAGTGCTCCTCCCGCGATTCTGCTATAAGGACTATATTGTCGGCAAATCGAAGGGCCTGCAATTTCCCTGATGTTGTAGTTGTTCATGGGCGGTGGTCGACACTTACTATCAGGAAAATTTGATTTAATGTGAGCGAAACCGCGGGGTGGAAAGCTAGTAAAATATAAAAATCTAGTAAATATATTAGTGAGCTGAGCAGGCACAGACAGAACAGTCAGGTGGGGGGGCGCATATTCATAATTGGTCTAGGGCTCTCGGAACTCTAAATCAGGCACTGATAACAAGGAATTAAACAATCCATTTGATGTGCATTTTATTTACTAGATTAGTAGCATTTGGCAATAACTTCAGGAATAAAACAATAAAAATTAAGAAAAAAATTAAGTTTCGAATAGGCACCGCCCTCCTCTCAATTTGAGTTCCTTCAAATTTTATTTTAGTAGATGCTCCTTGTTTGTGTTAGTTTTTTTACAAGTACCCTATTAATCTACATTGTATTTTTGTTTATACTTAGAAATAAAAATTATATAAAATGTATACTTACGATTTGAACGTGTTTGAGTGAAATGATTTCGATATATTAGTGTACGCCTAGGATAAGATTATTATTTGTTTGCAAGTATTTAAACTTTCTCATGCAAGTGAATTGTTGTAAATTCTTATGAGAAATAAAGATATCTCAAACCTTAACTTTAGAAATTTGGAAATAAAACAATACAAATACATAATTCAACATTTACTCTTATAGTAAATATGCCTATACACGCGTGGTACTATCAAATACACATAATTACAACATAATTTACTTAAATAGGTTGAGTTTTCAACAATTTATTTAGGTTTTTCTTTTATTTAAAAAATCATCTAATACAATACTATTAATTGTGGTTATTGGTTATCACTTTCATAATAAATACTAGTAGTTTAAGCATCGGAGAGTGCGGCTACACCAGGTAGCACTTTACCTGAAAAAAAAAATTTTAAAAGTTTTTAATCAGCCATACCACAGATTACTTAATAGTTTAGTCTTTTCTTCCCCATCGGTTGCCGGTTTTGCGGGATCACCCACACGGATATTCTTATTATTGCATAAATCACATAACAGCTATAAGGGCAGTCTTTTTTGAGTTGGCGTTTGATTACGATAGGTGTAAAACTTATAGTTGGAAAAAGAATAATGGAAATTACATAATTTACATTTTTAAACGTTCATTAGTAACAATCCAACTACTTATATTTATCTTTTCATAGACAAACAGACTGTTTGTCAAGACTTTTGAAATAAAAAGTTCACTATGTAGAACGCACACACACGCAGGCAAGCACGTACGTTTGCAGGCACACGCACAAATGCGCGCCAGTATGCACGCACATATACACGCGCACATACACACGCACGCATATTCACTTAATTTTCTCATTTTTAATAAAATTTCCGCAAAGCAACTGCCGATTCTAATTTTAATGCCAGAAAAATCACACAGACAGGAATGTAAACATCTCATATACTGTACACCATACAGTACTGATACCCAGACTGGCAGCGACGGGGTGCAGGTACAGGTGCGAGACATCTAGTACTGCAATCCGCTGTGGGAGAGACCCATGAGACACACAGCAGCAATATGTGTGCTTTTTAAGTGATGCAACCATAATTCAGCGTGGATCTACCACGTATATACAATTACCACATTTTTAGAAAAAAATAAATGACTTTTCGTTTGATTAATACCTAACACATATTCAATTCGTTGATTTTCATGCAACATTTGTACTGCAGATAGTTTTATTTCGGGTTCTGTTTTGCTTTTGTTTTTGGCATGCACACTCTTACGTTTCAGTGGAACTCGAAAAGATACGCAAAAGCAACCGCTCCTATTTCTCACCCCGCGAATAATCTTGGTAGAGCCACGCTGCAGGTTACTATGGCTCCGGGTTTAATGGGTATAGGGCTTTCATAGAATACCAGCCTAAAATTTCTTTTTACTGATAACCTCATGGAAAAGATGAACGATGAAGTGTTTCATCATAGTCCTCGGGGGTGACAGACAAGACATACTTCGTTTAGATAGTAGGTGTCTATGAGCAACAACTTTACCATCCGGAATATGAACAACGTTTATATTTCGCGAATATCTGAAAAGTTTATTGGTGTGCGTGAAAAGTAAGCTGCCGTCGTATCATCTCTGTGGCAGCCCTGAGACACGAAGCAAATGATCAGAAGTCCAAGTAAGTGCGCAAACATTCCTTCACATCTTTTCTATAGCCCTAATTAGCAGTATCGCGAATACTTAACACTCGCACTTGCACCCAATAATTTTTGAGACACAGGGGAACAATGACTGTATTTTTTGATGTTTGAAATAAGGCATACCCTCAAGCAATTCCAGCGATGCGCCACCACCAGTCGAAACATGGGATACTTTATCTTCTGTGCCCCACTTGGCACAACATGTTGCAGTGTCACCACCACCTATTAAAAAATAATATTTAGATTTTTTAATCTGTATTTCTAATGTGAAATAGATATCTATAGATAATTACTACAATATTGATAGCTATTGTCAATTTATTATGTAAGAATACTTCAATGCACAACTTTATTCTTCAATGGTTGTTATTTATTTTTTAATAAAATTTTAGTTCTATAATGAGGTGTAAAACAGGGTGCTGTTTGCACAAGTCACATATTTGGAAGTATGATTTTCTGCTTTATCAATATTTTATATTTAATATTCGATATCGACAGTCAGTCAGCCATCCTTTTTTGATGGTGTTACAATAGGCTTATATCGTCACACATTTTTTTAATCAATTTGATATAAACTTATTATAAAATATAACACATACAAATATTTTTATTTTATTGCATGAATTAATGTAATTAAATAGTGTGATATTTAAACACATGTATGTCACCCAGGGTAAAAGTTGTTGGTTTATGTTGTTTATGTTACACAGGTTTTGAGCAATACAGTAAAGTGATGTAAGGTACATAATAACTTAAATTAAAAAAGCCCCGAAACAAAAAGTGGTGATGATCTTCAAACGGCTGAACAGATTTTCTTGAAACATAGCTAAGGCCCGTATTAATAAACATTACTCAGCTCAAGTTCACACACTTGAGTACAATTTTAAGGTTATGATCTTATTAATAAACATATCGCAAGATGCGGTTTAGGTTTACAATATCAGCTGAGTGCCACACTGATTAATAAACGAAACTCGAATCTCAAGTGTGTGTACTTGAGATGTTAAAATCTGAGTGCGGGCAGTCCGTGAGTTAAGATCGTGATTGGGGTCATGGAGTATGAAAATATTTTAAGAGAAATTAATTATTACGACGCCTCTTTAATGCGTTAGGTTATTTGTACATATTAAATTCAGTAGTAAACATTTAGTTCGTATTTAGAAATACATACACAATAGTTTTAACGATTTAAGGTTTTCGAAAATAGAAAACAACTTTATAACGTGATACAGGTTATTTAAGTTTTATCAAAATAAAAATATTCAATAAATCTCAAATATCGCAAAACCGAAATGTGATGAATGATATTCTAAAATTCGGTCTATGTGATGTAGTCTTTCACAAGATCAAGCCTTCAAGTCACAGAACAGTATTCCCAAGTACATCAAACATTTAATAATTAGCAACCATCTTGAGAAGTCGCTATCGAAACGAGGGCGTATCAAATGATTACGTACTTAAGTTCGTCATTGAGTAACATCAAATATAAATTGGGAATACTCAATAATGTGACCACATAATTGGACAGAAAATACTTTTATATTTCACTATAATATAAAAATGTTACCAATAATCGTTATAGCTCCACTGTTCGTTGCCTTTACAACGCAGTCCATCAGAGCTCTGGTGCCGCCAGCAAACTTTTCGAATTCAAATACACCAGCAGGCCTAAAAAGATTTTGTTAAATTAAAAGAGACGTAAATCTTGATTGAGAGCAGTATGTCAATCCAGTGAGCAACTCACATACTATACCCACCGCCAGCACCAATGGAATTGTCAATTGTAATATTATGTGCTTAGTGAATGGTGATCTAACCGTGAAGTGGTGTAAGAATATCATAAGGAGAGGGAAACTGAATCAGGAGATGAGCAGCATCTGTCTGTTAACAACTCAAAATTATGTGTCTGCCAATACTGGCTATTATGGCAAAATCTCCTCTCTACGGCAATCTTTAGAGAGGCCTATGTTTAGCAGTGGACTTTTATAGGCTGTAATTGATTGATTGAATGGCTGTAAAAAGTAAAAAGTTACAGCCTAAATACGTCCCACTGCTGGGCACAGGCCTCCCCTCATTTCTGAGAGGGTTTTAAGGCAAGGAAGTGTTCGCCGCGCTGCCCCAATGCGTGTTTGCGAACTTCACATGTCTTTGAAATATATTTTTTTCTTATTCCTCAGACATGCAGGTTTCCTCACGATGTTTTCCTTCACCGCCGAGCACGTGGTAAATCAGCACTTAAAATTGCAATTAACAATTTCATTGGTGCCGGCGGGGATCGAACCCGGTTTGCTCGCGTACTATGAAATGTACAGTGAGCGCTAACTATCTGAGCTACCACGGCTACAATGGCTGTAATAAGAAATAAATATTTCAGAGAGTTGAAGTTCACTAACATGTAATAGAGTAGCACAATGGACTCTACTCCGATACCCTTACAGAAAAGAGAGGATCATGGAAGCTTTGTGTAGATTTTGTGAAGATTTTAAAGTAATCATCTTGAAAATTATCAGACCGATGAACAGTGTCTAAGGAGTAAGGTGACTGATACAGCAATTAACATTAAGTTTCTAAGTGTGGTAGTATTCCAACTTGAAATGTAGAATAGGATAAAAATATCTCTAACTAGGACGAGACCAGCAAATGCCTGTTTTTATGCTGAAGGTAATGATAAAAACACATGATTTTACATCATTCATATAAATGTTTTATCTCAATTATGAGAAGGATTAACATACCCATTCCATACAATAACTTTAGCCCTCGCAATAGGTTCAGCAAAGAGTTCCCTTGTTTTTGGACCAATATCAAGACCCATCCATCCATCAGGGATGCCAGATTCAACATCAGCAGATCCAACCTAAAAAAATGAATACCAGTGCTTTTACATTGACAAAATAAATACATAATATTAATATTATTTTCCCGTATTATAGTTTAGAAATATACTGAAATAACTAATTGAAATGTATATATCATATTGTGGTCTGAGATATCTTTATTCTCATTTTATATTTTTCAATTTTAATTTTTAATTTTTTGGGAATAATTGCTAACTGCACAAGCTATATAACAAAATAATTTTTATCTTTTAAATTCCCATTTTACCTTTTTCATGAGCAAGATAGTATATTTTTGTATCTTTAAAAATCTAAATTATAGTCACTAAAAGACATCTTACCTGCGCATTTTCGTCAAATTTATCAGCTGTAACAAAGTCTACAGGCAAATGTACTTTAACATTATTTTTTGCTGCTTTTTCCAATAATTTAGTAACAATCTTAGCACCTTCTGCATCATACAGAGAATTTCCAATCTGCAAAATAAGGTATGAATTTTTAAAAGAGAGCTTTAATATCATATATTTTACTGTTAAATTATACAAAAATTTTGTCATATTGATAATTGAGATTGCATTATTATAAGGGACATAGTATTTATTTTATTATAAAATGAATGTACACTTACAGCCATACCCTTGGTTTCCTTTAGGAATGTGTAAGCCATACCTCCACCAATGATCATCTCATTCACTTTATCAAGCAAGTTCTCTATCAGCAAAATTTTGTCAGCAACCTTAGCTCCACCAAGGATAGCCAAAAATGGCCTGCAATAAAAATATTGGACAATATGTTCAAATTTTTCCTCTATTTCAATGTGTAATGGCACACTCTTTTAACTAAACATTATGGCAAAAAAGGAGAAAGAAAAAGGCAATAAAAGGAAGTATACAACATAACCAACTCTAAGCATTAGTTAGATAGACAACTTGCTTGTTATTAATTATGTAAGTGCAAAAGCGGTGACAACATGAAAGACCACATTTTGCATCATTTTCTAGTTTCATACTGACAACCAACTTTTACGTTATAAAATGGTGTGTTAATCTAACAAACTGGTTTGTGTACATGGCAATTTATAATTTAACAAGACTATTCAATGTAAAAAATTCATAGAATAATTTAAAAAATTAAATACTTAATGTTAATTGGGTTATGCGCAAACACTCAAACGATGTTCAATTATAAGATGATGTTAAGTCTCATGTTGTCTCTATCACTTTATGTCAAAGTGACTGTGACACCACGAGACTTAATGACATCTTAAAATTGAATAGATTTTGAGTATTTGGCCAGATTTAATGACGGGTCTAATTGTCCTAAAATTTTATAGTATGCAAGCAAATCAAATTTTGTACTCACACCAGCACTAATGGAATTGTTAATTGCAATTTTAAGTGCTGATTTTCCATATGCTCAGTGTTTAAGGCAAACATTAGGATATGAGCATGTCTGAGTAATGAAAATATTTCAGGGACTTGTGTCAGACCAGTAACTGTTTCCTGCTCCAAAAACTTTCAGAAATAAGAGTAGTCCTGTGCCTGGGCACATAAATCATACATAAATCCCACTTCTGGAAGTGGGATTTATGTATGCTTTTACTTATTTTTTACTCAATACAATAAAACATAATCTTAAATTACCTTTCAGGTTCATGAAGAGCTTTTGCAAAATATTGGAGTTCTTTTTTGAGTAAGAAACCACTGGCTCTTTGCTCAAAACCTTCTCCCATCATGGAGCTGTGAGCTCTATGGGCTGTTCCTATAATAAATGCCGTAAAAATTTTAATATATGCATTTCATAGAGAAACAATAAAATAAAAACAATGTTGATACAAACCAAAGGCATCATTGATGTAAACATCTCCCAACTTCCTTAGGCTAGCCCTAAAAGATTTAACCTTTTCAGGGTCAGCCTTCACTTTGGCTCCACTAGCATCTACACCTTTGCCCTCTTCCTCAATATGAAATCTCAAATTTTCTAGTAAAATTATGGAACCTGCAGGTGGATCAGCACAAGCAGCCTCTACTTCAGGGCCAACGCAGTCTGATAGAAAAGTCACATCCCTTAAAATATACACAACATTAATTATACGTATTGGCACATGGGATATTATAGGGTAGTGGATATTCTTATACTTTATTTTATTTATTCTTTTTTTTAATTTAATAAACGTTACCCCCACAATAGGATTTTCTACTGTGTCGTAGAGGCAGTTTACAAACATAAATTGCATGTGGACAAACATCCAGACCTGGAACAATTATTTGTAGGCCATACAAATACTTGCTCCATGCGGGATTCGAACCCACGGCCCCCAGCGCAACAACTCATTGCTAAGCCACTGAGCCATGGAGCCGTCTACACTGATAATATAGGCGCAATTTGATTCAAATATTAAAAAATAAATATTTTATTAATAATAGCACTTCCGTAAATTCTATTTCTATAAATTCCATATCTATCATATTTTTTTATTATGTGTAGTAAATTAATTGTTTGCTTCAATATTGGTACTTACTTGTTTAAAAGTTTTTTCAGTTCTTCTGCCACGGGCTTTAAAGTATATTTTAGATTAGTTTGACCGTCCGGTCGACCCAAATGTGACATTAGTACTACTGATTTTGCACCTTTATCCAGGGCATATTTAACAGAATCAAGAGCTGCCACTATGCGTTGATTGTTAGTGATTACTCCTTCTTTAAGCGGCACATTAAAGTCGACTCTATAAAAAAAGAAAAATATCGTCTTTACCTGCAATATCATAATACGATTTGTTTTAAATAATTAGAACTTACCGCATCAAAACCCGTTTTCCGCTGAGACTTAATGCATCAATGCTGAGTTTGTTTAGTGCCATCTTGTTTTACACAACAGTTAAATTATCTAAAATTGTAACAGTGATTCTTTCACTATTTAAATTTCTCAGAAATCGCTGAGATTATAAAAGGTATTCTATGGCTGAGATCCTACAAAAGTCAAATTTGTCAAGTTTAACCTTGTATCTGTCAAAAAGGTCAAACTATGTTGTTGTTACAATTCCACAACTAAAACAGGCCGTGAACCATACAGCCTCTTAACTCAACAACAATAATATGCTAAATGCTAATGTGTCACAATGCTAAGTTCCTGGAAGATTTTATCGACAGCACAACTCAGTGAACAGTTGATGACGGTAATATAACAAGGCCCGCAGATAATAAAATATGAAGTACTTGTTACATACATCGTTTCCACAAATATTTTAGATGCGCATCATTCGATGTATAGTAGGACAGACCATAATTCATAGAAAATGGCAGCACCAGAACGTAACAGAGTGGAGCCAAGAGCTTAGAGTATACATAAGCAAGCTATGAAGCGCGCGTATGACTCGTTGTCCATCTACGTTGCCCACCATTATGCCAAGCGTAAGCAGATGTTCAATGTAAAGACTTTTAAGCATCAAACTAGTCTGTGATAGTTACTGATACATAGATACAAGGACTATATTACCACTACGTTTAAGAGGCGGGACTTCCTTAGTAAAAGTAAATGTATGGAAGGGACCAAGCTACTTCACCTACATTAAGATACATTTAATTTTTGACAAACAGTGCTGACAATATAGGCCCTAAGTATTTTTTTTATAATCAGTGTTTACTTATCGCAATATTACATACCGATGAAAAGAAATGTCATTGCTCTTATTATTTTGCTTCCGTGAATTTTTGCAGCTTGGCACTGCAAATTTCACTGATAACTAAAATATTTATTAAATATCGTCCTAAGAAATAATTATCGCGAATGATCTTTTGTGACTAATAACGTCAATGTCATACTCGCCATTTTGAGACTATTTTGACGCAAATTTACAGTTCTGACTTGCTTACACGCGCTATATAGCTTGCTTATAAATACTCTAAGCCTAAATGTCGACCTTCGAATAATTTTATCGATGTAATATTTATGGATATTTTGTTTATCTAATTTTTATATAATAATAGTTAGATCCATACTGAATGATTTTATTATCATCATTACAGCCCTACACAAGCCCACTGCTATAGGTCTCCCCAACGAATTCCACAAACATATATCCATCGACTTCTTACATATCTTACCAGGTCGTCATTAAATCTAGTGGTGAGCCGCCCTACACTTCGCCTATTTGTACGAGGTTGCCGCTCGAGAAATTTTTTCCCCATCGGTTTCGGTTCTTCGAGCTATATGGCCGGCCCATTGCCAATTCAGCTTACTAATCCGTTGGGCTATGTCGATCACTCTGGTTCTACTGCGGATATCCTCATTTCTAAGTTTACCACGCAGAGAAACTCTGAGCATAGCTCTCTCCAAAGCTTGCTGAGTGACTTTGAGCTTCATCTTAAGACCTATCCGTTGGGAGACATTATTGAGGGCATTGAGAATAGTGCTTAGGTCCTCGAGCGAATCTGCCAAAAGGCCTATATCGACGGCAAATCGAAGGTGAGTGATGTACTCGCCATTGATGTTGATACCGTATCCTTTCCAGTCCATACGTTTGAAAACGTCTTCCAAAGCAGCGGTGAAGAGTTTTGGGGATATAACGTCACCCTGTCTTACACCTCTCTGCAGTTGGATAGGTTTCATACTCTGGTTCTGTACTCGGATAGCCATCGTAGCTCTACAGTACAAACACTTCAGCACCTTGATATAATGACAGTCCGCTTGGTACCGCTGAAAGGACTGCCGCACCGCCCAAATTTCGACGGAATCAAAGGCTTTCTCATAGTCTTTATACACAAGACATAGTGGCAAATTGTACTCCTCGGTCTTCTGTACAATTTGCCGAAGATTATGTATGTGGTCTCTATGGTGGTAAAGCCTTTTCGAAAACAGGCTTGTTCGGGAGGTTGGAAGTCGTCAAGTCTGCGTGCGAGACGATTCGTAATGACTCTCGAAATTAGCACGTAGACCCGGCTCAGAAGGGAAATATGTCTGTAGTTCTTCAAGAGAGCATTGTCGCGTTTCTTGAAGGACAACACCACCGCACTTCTGCACCACGTCTGAGGAGTAGTGCCACCATAGAGAACGGAATTAAAGAGCTTCTGAAGGACTTCAAGTACCTGTTTTCCACACGCTTTCAGAAGCTGCGCTGTAATTCCATCCTCGCCTTGCCTTGCCGTTTTTAAGTTGCTGGAGAGCCTTTCTAATCTCGCTTAGACTGACGTCCGGGATATCATCGGAATTGTGTCGGATAAGACTTGCCCTTGGATCGTTACTCACACTTAAGTGTGGCTCCAACGATGATGTGTACAGTTGCCCAGATAACCTCTCAATCTCACTCAAATTCTCAGGTGTCCCGGAATACGCTGCCACACTCGGTCTTCTGCTCGACAGTTGGCTCTTTCTGGCAGACAGCTCTCTGGAAAAGACTTTGGAGCCTTGGTTCCGCTCGATCGCTTCATCAGTCCTGCCGCATGCATTTAGGCTGAGATCTATAGACCGTACTTTGACTTTGCTCAGACTTTACTTTCGAGCTAAAACAATGTCGGTATTTATAGAGCTAACTTCGAAGTCATGCTGAGTGCGCGCTTAGCAAAGCCTAAGTCAAAGATATCGCCGACTTACCTCAATCTCAGGATATTATTCAAAACCACCGTATTAATTTTAAGTTTTTATGTTCCTTTAATTAATTATAAAAATAAATAGGTAGTTTTAGGTCGTCTTCTAGTTTTAAATAGCATTAATCCATTTTCTACGTGCTCAAAAAATTGCTTGCTCATAAGTTTGCTTAAAATTAGCATGCTCTGCATGTTACGGCCCACAGCTGCCCATACAAGGCTCAAATATCCCGCGGCCCATGAGCGGAAGATTCAACGGGCAGCCTAGGGTCGGGCCCAAATGGCCATATGGAAACTTATCCTATCCTACTACACTATAGGGAGAAGGCTATGCAAATAAATAGTACGTACATGGGTTGAGGCGAAGACTGTCCCGAAGGTTCGACAAAAACCTCTTCGTTGCATCAATTTGCTAAGAAAACCGACTCTAAAAAATGGAGGTTATCCCGGGCGACCTCACGACGTGCTATCGACAGCACTGCATTCAAGCAACTCTGTTGCACTCACGTTCTGCGCTCGCGCCCTCTGCCCAGTGACGCACACGGGAGTGGGGCCACGGTGACCTTTACAAGTCAGCGGGCGGACACGAGTGTGAATGCAAATGTCAAATGTTAATTGTTTGGCCTGAACACTGCAACTGTTCACATTTGCCAACAATAAGCACGCTTAAAACATACTCATAAATAGGCATGCTTAAAGCAAACTTTGGACAGACGTGCTATTTGGTACCAGGCTCTCTGCCAAAATGGATACGTATACGATATGGATGGTACAAAAAATGTGACAATGCTATCCGTACAGAACTCAATAAAATTTATTTTAAATTGACGCAGCAAATGTCGCGGATCGAGATTGATTCGATAATAACATGCTCATAAGCAAACTAACGCGCTCGGAGCACGCCGCCTTCTACCCGCGCCTCAGGTAGTATGCTCGAAAATCAAACGTCGGTTGATTTTTGAGCACCTTCAAAATAAGCACGCTCATAACTAGCAACGTTGCGACAAACGTGCTACTAGCACTTGATCAATAAAAGCATGTTTTCGTGCTAGTAATGAGCACGTCTGTCCGTACCTTTAGAGATACGTCTGGTCAGCTATTTTTTCTTTTTAATAATTCGCTCTACTCTACGGTTTGTTATTTTTAGTTCTAAGCGGGCTTATCACAGGTTGTCACAGGTACCACAACTAATAAGAACAGAACAGTGGCCAGTCCCTGGTATATAGTATATTATCCATAGATAAATATATATGTAGCAAGCTAATATTATCTATGGTGGCCAGTGGAATTGGTATGTTGGCAACATTGATTATTTGTCGCGAAATGCACGTATTGGGACGCTCGCATTCCGAATGTTCTTTAAAAATCTACGTTGAATTATATGGAACGCCGCGAGTGAGTGATAAGTTTTGGGATTTATTTATCCAAACAACCGATTTGCGTCAATATTCAGTGTTTATTAGTGATTGTTTTGGGTGACGAACAAAGCAGGCACTAGTGCGTCGAAAGTTGAAACATGGTGCCGCTAGGACCCGGGCCTGGCCATCCTACCGCACATCAAACTCACGGTGGGCCCTCCACAAACTTATCCGGCCCAAATTCGTTATCACAAAGTACTCCGCAGTCAAACAAGTCGTCAGTAGCGGTAAATAACGATTCTTTTTATTACCATATTCGTATTCATATGTCAATCTGGCGGTTTGCACATGTTTATGTAACTTCTCGTTGAGCACGTGCAATTTGGCGCTAATTATAATATTTGCTTTCAGAAGCCGAATTACACGCTCAAATTTACTCTTGCGGGGCACACAAAGGCTGTGTCTTCTGTTAAATTCAGTCCTAATGGGGAATGGCTTGCAAGCTCCTGTAAGTTTTTCTGACATATGTACATAATTTTATCATAATATACAGAATATTAGACCGCTTCTGAATATGTATTCAATTTTGTTAAAATATTATTACAGAAATTTCTTTAAAAACATTATATTAGAAGTAATACTTTAAGTGGCCAAAGTCCTTGAATTTATAGTGTTCCTTATTTAGCACTATTTCTTAAGTACGACCTTCACATGTACCTAATAGTAACAAATTTATAACTTTTTGAATCGCTCTTTGTTTTGTTTTATTATAAATAAGGTACTTTATGCAAAATAAATTACATATATCAATGTTGACTTTATTTTTGTTTCATATGAAGATAGTAGTTATCTATTAACACTTAATATTACAAAACTCTAAATCAATCAAAATCATATAAAAGTAGGTAATATTGTTGATATACCTAAATGAAAATTTAATTTTATGTTAAAGATTATAAAAAATATAATTTTATCATTTATTGGCATGTGCTATTTGCTGATCATCCAAGATGACATGATCTACTGATTATAGATCTAATCACTAGACCATGTCATTTTGGATGAGTGATGGTGGAAACTAATAAGAACAGAATGAAAGTCTATGATCTAATTTGCTTGGAGATTCTGTAAGTAAATTTTTCATGAATTTTCACGATCATGAAATTTCAATGAACATGAAAAAAACATTTAATTAATGATCTTTATTTCCAAGTCTAAAATTTCTTATTGTCATGGTATTGTTATTTGTAACTTTAAGTATATATTCCGGGTGTTCAAGAATTGCTTACTATTACTTGAATGCCCCCTTAGTAGTCAATAAGTTAGCTCAGCACTAACTTTAAACTTCTATTTGACCTCCTAATTCATTTACAAATTTAATAATATATATTACATATTATTATATACTATCCAACTGCAGAGAGGTGTAAGACAGGGTGATGTTATTTTCCCCGAAACTCTTCACCACTGCATTCGTAGACGTTTTCAAGCTACTGGACTGGAAAAGATATGGTATTAACGTCAATGGCGAGTACATCACTCACCTTCGATTTGCCCACGATATAGTCCTTATGGCGGAATCGCTGCAGGACCAAAGCACTATGCTCAATGACCTCAATAGTGTCTCCTAACGGATAGGTCTTAAGATGAACATGGATGAAACAAAAGTCATGTGTAACTTCCATGTCACACCTATGCTGTAGTTGTTGGGAACACTAAACTCAAGGTTGTTGACAAGTATGTATACCTTGGACAAATAGTCTGACTAGGTAAGTCCAACTTCGACTGAGATGTCAACTGACTGATTCAACTCTGCTGGATGGCGTTTGGGAATTACGGAATATCTTCGTCATGTATACCTCAAAACTTAAAACTAGACTGTACAACCAGTGCATGATGCCAGTGATGACCTATGGAACTGACATGTGGTCCTTCACTGCTGGCCGTATGAGGAAGCTCAAGGTCACTCATCAAGCTATGGAGATGGCTATGCTTGGGGTTTCTCTGCATGATAAACTTAGAAATGAGAATATCCGCAGTAGAACCAGAGTTACCGACATAGCTCAAAAGATTAGTAAGCTGAAGTGACAATGGGCCGGCCATATAGCTTGAAGAACCGACAACCGATGGGTAAAAAAGATTCTCTATTGGCAGCCTCGTACCGGCAGACAAAGAGTAGGACGTACCCCACTAGATGGAGTGACGACCTGGTAAGACATGCAGGAATTCGATGGATGCAGGTGGCTCAGGGCCGTGCATTGTGGCATTTCTTGGGGGAGGCCTATGTTCAGCAGTGGACTTGTGAAGGACTGTAATGATGATGATGATGACATATTATTATATTTTATCACATAATCTTTAATGATTTGTACTTTTTATTAATTAGGATCACTGATAATTAAAATTTATGGTGCTGAATTGTAAACATAAAATCATTTCAAGGTATATAATCCTTTATATAAAAAAAGATAAAACTAGGTTATCAGATCAAGTAGGAATTTCTTTAGTCAGGCATATCTAGGATTATTACAGTTTTACTAGGTTAAATTTATATAACTTACATATGAAGAAGTGATAGAAATTTAAGAATCCTTAAAGTTGATTTACTATAGTGTTTGTGTGTATGTATGTATGTATGTTTTTCAGATTACCAACTGACCATCACCATCTTTATATTATATAAATATAATCCTTCCATAGAATAAGAACATATACTACTCCATATTGTGCAGTTCGTGTTGAAAGAGGCTACAAAGGGAAACAAGCCAGGTGATGGGCAGCAGTGTTTTCCTGATAACAACTCAAAATTATAAAAAACTGCAGTTGCCAACCTTCCGGCCAAGCATGATAACTATGGCAAAATCCCCCCCAATTAAGCAATCTGTGGGGAAGACCTTTGTTCAGCAGTGGACTTTTAAAGGCTGTAATGGATGGATGGATGAATAGATGGATAAATTCTAGGGAATAAGTGCAAGTATTCTTGTCTAGGTTTTTGGCATGCAAAAGTTTAAATATTAAACTGAATTTCCTGCATATACATAATTAAATATGTATATTGAAATATTAGTAATGAATATGAAAATATTCAGTAATCCTAATACAAATTTGTTTTATGTAGTTAAATTTTTGTGATAGAAGAACAAGCTTTTTAAAATGTATGTAACTTCTAAACAGTATAAATGTAGTCTATGAAAATTGCAAACTTTCCTTTCAGCTGCTGACAAACTTATTAAGGTGTGGGGTGCCTATGATGGCAAATTTGAGAAGACTATATCAGGACACAAGATGGGCATCAGTGATGTGGCTTGGTCATCAGACAGCAGGTTGATTGTCAGTGCTAGTGATGACAAGACATTAAAGGTGAGTAAAGTTTTTAAATAATCTATTTTATTGGGTGGGGTAAGAAGGGTTTTTTAAATTATTTATAAAGGAAACATATTTTATGGGAGATAAAAAAATTGAAGATACTCTATCTCACGCAATTTGCGCCTTAAAATATATTACGCGTCGCATATAATTGACGCACCGTTAGAGGCGAAATATTGCGCAATGTTTACTGTACTGACCCTGTGACTTGTGAAAGTTTTTTTGTGTTTGTGAAACATTTTGTGAGTAGTATAATTAGGATGTTTTCATAAGATGTCATTATTTTTTTTGAAGATAATGAAGTCAAATTATGGTGACAGTTATTTTTCTAAATAATTATATAGAGTCAACTAGGTTTTGTTTGAAATTAGATCATGATTAGTAATTTCAACAACTTTTTTATACTGGAAATTATACCGTTTGCATTTTCTTGAGGTATTTAGTCATTGTCTATTTGGCTGCAGGAGACATAGAAGTATTAGGCTTAGAACCGCAGTAGGCACACGCAAAGTGAAGCCATTTCAAGTTAGCCTTTAAAGGCTAAGTACGAGTTTTGGCACGTTAGTACTAGTCCATGTAGTCGTGTAAACAGCTCGTACAATTTTTCAAAAAAATGACGTACTGTACTGTGAAAGTGTGTCACAACTCATCACATAATCACGAAAAAAATGTAAAAATCTCATTTCACGGTTAAATACTGCCTAGCATCTTATATTTTTGTAAAAAACATTCATCACAACAAAATAATAAATAATAAATTTGACAGACGCCAATATAATGAAAATGTTGCTAGGCACAGTAAAATATTTTACCCCATTTTTTTTATTATTATAATTATAAAAAATGCATATTGAAAAAAATACATACATACTGCCAATAGTCTCATTTACATATAAATAGGTATTTTTATTTGCCAAATATTATTAGGGCTTCCATTTGCTACAAAAAATGTGTTGATTTTATTTTATTTTGATAATGTGCAGTTGTAAAAACAACTGCACATTATCAAAATAAAATATTTATCCTAAAACACATACCTTTTTAAGGTATGTGTTTTAGGATAAATAACATAGCCTATGATTGTTTTTTTTTTATTCTAATTTACATATACTTAACATTTCTAGTTCGACTCTTTTATGAATGTAAAAAAGATAACATTTCGAGGATAGCATCATCAAAGCGGCAGTTGTTTAGAAAACAGTTGCAGTTTCAGGGTCATTAAGAGATATTTTTTTAAGTACTTGGGTATATTTTATTTTATATTATTTAATAAACATTTTTAATTTCATGTTTTATTTGAATAGTTTATCTCCTCCCGAATCTTGTTTTGTTTTAATGCATAACATAATATCCAATAAAGTAATAATAATAATCACTTGAAACTGACCGCACTCTTAAGTCTCGTGATTCCTTCTAATATTATATCCATTCTGTGAAAGTTGTATGTTGTAACCTTTACGTTGAAACTGATTTAAATTAAATATATCATGTAGATTCTTAGAATGGCAAGAATCGAGATCAGTGTATGCTTTAATATGCTGGTGAAGCCGCGGGCCACAGCCACAGTTAGTTAGGAATAAACAATGAAAAAATATCTGACAGCTAAAATGATTATCTGACAACTATTCACTTGTTAAGTGTAAGTGGGGCTGGAAGAAATAGACGTAGGCATTTGCCTCCTCCGTTTCTTCCACTTTTATTTATTTTTATTTCTTCACATCGAGTATTATATAAAAATTAATATTTACAAATAATAAAAGATTTCATGGAAGATAAATAACAGATATTTATATAAATATACCACTTCTAACAGAATAATATAATTACATAATTATATAATTATATTAATAAATTAATAATAAAATAAATAATAAATTACATAATAGATTTGTGAATATAACACAAGATATTACGTAGGTATATAAATAATTTAAATATTACATAAGTTAATAAAAATAAATAATGTTACATTTTTCTCTTTGCAAATAGTTAATAAATAATTATAAACGCAACCTAAATATTAATTCTATGACGATATCTACTATTACATTTTCCCCACTTTTTAGGGAAAATGTAAGTAACTTGCAAACATTACTCATTTGCTTGTGTGCGTGTGGGCAAACGTAATTACAGGCCGCTTATGCACACATTCATTATGTTGTTGCTTCATCTTTGAACGGAATTTTGAATGTCACTATCACTCTATGCATAATTACTCTAAGGCAGGAGATATATGACATTTCTATTGGGCAGGGCATAACTACCTTTTATTTCTGAAAGGAAAGGATTTTCTGGAGTAATTAGACCACTGTTAGTGTGTGTTGGCAGACTTCACATATGTTCGTAATATTTTTTCATTATTGGTACAAGTGAAAATTAAACTCTAGATTGCTCCAATATTATGAAATATATGGCTAGCTTTTGGCCTATGAGATGCCACAGCTTGAATAGCATGTTTTTCTTTTGTTTTTATTCAATATACAATATATTCAAATTCAATTCTAAATTACAAAACAATTTTATATTTTTTAAAAATAATAAGTATGTTCCTATCTAAATAATGCATAAAATGTATCACAAAATTTTGTTTAATCATAAACTTCCACCTTATAAAAATAACATTCATTAAATTGTAAGCATATTATGATATTTATGTTTTTTGATTTCATGGATAATTTTTCTTAAGAATATCTATAGTTCAATTATGGTATTATAAAATATTAGATTCCTGAGCTTATAAAATATTTCTCACGGTATTTTATCTCAAAGATAATATAGACCCAGATAGATAAAATTGTTTACTTTTAACTCAACTAAGAATACACTTATATTTTTTCACATTTAATAATTGATCAGTTTTTGATAAAATCTGAAGGAAGTAGAGAACAAAATTTGAATGAATATCAGCAATGCATGGTAAGCCATATTTAATAATGTATGTCATGATCTGCCTTTTGCACTTTGGACTTCTATCTCTCATAAATGACAAATAACAATATGCCGGTCAGTCTAGGCCTAGATCTTTTTTTATTTTTGGGGAAGAATATTTTATGGAAGTTACACAATGTTACCTGGTAAAACTTTTACTGTTAAGTTTCTATTTATCTACAGGATTTATTGCCGACCTCAAAATTTTAAAAACGAGAAAAAAAATTGAGGGTGAAATACAGCATTTACCTATCACATATTTGAATTCAGAAATTTATTTTAATTTAGGTATTTTTTAAAATAAAACAAAGTTATTCACTTTTGTTTTACTTAGAAAAATAACTTAAATAGACACAGTACAAAAGAACTGTCTTATTTTTAGTAAATAGCCACATCTCTAATAGTACCCTATAACTATTCCAGATATTGTCAGTGAAATTCCCCCATCAGCTCTTACCCAATTTACGAAATTTTAATAAAAATTGGAAATTGAAATTGTGAATAACTAAGAATAATTATGTTCTATTTTATATTTTATTTTATAGAATAAGGGTGATAAATGAGCACACAGTCCACCTGATTGTTAGTGGTTGCTGCGGCCCGTAGACATCTACATTTATCCTCAACAAAGAATCAAAATGCAAATGCGTCGTCACCTGTGAGGACTAAGATGGAATGCCTCTTTTCAAGTAAAATGGGTCTCTGGTTCTCTACACTCACCATACAAAACACAGCAGCATCAAGCTACTATTTTACGCAGTTATTGCCCTTAATATTTTTCTGATAATATAAAAATAGTGCTGTATAAGTGAAAGCAGTAAGTGTATTTTGTTTGTGCAAAATTTATAATAATAATTTTCAAAACCTTTTTTAAAATTATATTTATTTATAATAAAAGTCCAATGGTCATTTAATAGGTAGAAATATTGTGTATTTTAAAATAAAATTCTTGTTACAGGTATGGGAACTTAGTTCAGGCAAATGTTTAAAAACTTTAAAAGGACACAGTAATTATGTATTTTGCTGTAACTTTAACCCACAAAGTAATCTTATTGTTTCTGGAAGTTTTGATGAAAGTGTCCGAATATGGGATGTTAGAACAGGTAACACATAACAATTTTTGATCAATTTATATACATATTACATATACAAAAGATATTACTAGATCAGGTAGGGCACTATTTTAGTAAAATAACAGTCACAGGTATTTTATGTCAATCCAATGAGGTAGCAACTCATTTTATGTCTTTTTTTGTTTTAAGTTGTTGTTTGTGTCCATCAGCAACAATAGCAACTTATCATTATTATATGTATTATGTCAAAATGTAACATTTTGACATAATAGCAGCCAATAAATAAATCCGTTGTAAAGAACCATGCCCACTTTTCATACATCTGAAAGCCTAATAGTGAAAGTATATGTATAGTTATAAGGTATAGTAGAAAAACTTCCTATAAGCTTAGAAAATAATGTCATGTAGTAATTTTTACAATTTAAATGATACGAAGCCCGAAAATATTCATGTAATTCTTTGGGTTAGGATTTGCCATTACCAAATAAGTTATAAAGAAAAAATGGTGCTAGAACTTATGTGTAATATTATTAGAAGTTTAGATACTTAGGTCAAAAACGTCCTTTTAACTTTGAGAATTCCTTGAAACCAACTGCCCCTAAGTCACTGCTAACTCTCTATGATTATCACTATAAATTGAGTGTCGAGCGCTATCTGCTGTTTCTCCAGCACACATATGTACTTACTAACTACATTTTTAGTAAAAAAAAACGATAGATAGTTTCTATATCTTTAAAAAGTCTAACTTAGTTTTGTATTGTCAAAAGTGATCACTTATCTACCAAACACATTTCATTAGCCTACGGTACATACTTACATACATACCTGATGAACAAAATGGGGAAAATAAATAAAAGACTATGTTAAAGTGGAATGGTTTATTAATTATCATCATTTTCATCTAAATCTCTTACAACTACGTCATCCAGAAATTCTGTTGGAGCAGAGATATTTTTTTGATACCTAGCCCATCCAAGGTACCACACTAACGTCATAACATGAGCGCAACATCCAATGGTTTGTCAACCGACCAAACAATTACAACAATATTCAACTATACCAGCTCTAACAGACACATTCTTTTCTATTAAAATGTAAACATAATATTGTTATGTTGAAATTTTTTTTTGGTGAAAATCTCTTATTAATGTTCTATCACCACTTCCTCTGAGATTGTACTGAGAAAAATCTTGTGTACCCCTACATATTTCTGTTCTATATGATCCATGAAAAACACACAAAATGGCACAATACACAACGAGACACAAACACAATAAGTGATTATATTCTCTTTGGTAACTACGAAGGACTGCACCAATGCCAATCGTAGAACTGTCGAATGTCAAAAAAATCCATTTCACTCTTGCGCACTCAATGACATACTGCATGATTAATTTATTTAATTATTATGTTATTTTTAATTAATATGTACTATACAAATAGCAATAAAGAAATACTTATTGATTAAATAAAACATAAAATAATGTTTAAAACTCAGAAACAGAGTTCAATTAAGTCAAGTAGCAATGTGTAAAATGGAACATCCTAGAAAAAGGGTAGTTGAGATGCGTTCAAAATATGGTGGTAATACGTTTACCCTTGACGTAGAATAAGCTTAAATAAATATTTAAAAAAAATCTCCTGCCTTTCTTTTAACATTGTGATAAATGTATTTAATATACAATTCAATTAGCTGCATTTCAAGATTTTATTTCTATACATAGGTAATAAATGGGCATCTTTCTTTCAGTAAGGAAAATCGTAACTTGCATATCCTTTTAGTTCTTAATGTATTTATAGTATGTTAACTATGGTGTTCTTTTGTAAGAGAATGAATTGCTTTTAGGCAAATGTTTGAAGACACTACCAGCTCATTCTGATCCAGTCTCAGCAGTTCATTTCAACAGAGATGGCAGCCTTATTGTCTCATCCAGTTATGATGGCTTATGGTAAATATATTTGTTAACAAATAAGTACATATTTTCCTTCACATTTAATAGTTCTGTATTGAATAGTATCTATGTCAGGTAAGGTCAGTAAATATTCAATAGTTAAAATACACATTTTTAGCCTTATAAATGGAGTGTGTTATACTCTTCATTGGACATAAAATCTCTTTAAAGTTTTCATTGTGTATTAGTCCTCAATTCCTTAAAGCAATTATATTGTATACTAGCAACACACCCTAGCTTTGAGTGGATAAGACCTATTTATGTGGCATTATTTAGATAAAACAAACAAAGTCATTTAATTTATCTATTTTTTTGTTTTATCAAAAAAAATCTCCTAGTTTTTTTTTTTGGATAAAATATAGCCCAGATCACTCCTGGTATAGCTTTCTACCTGTTCGTGAAGTTTCATTACAATTGGTTCAGTCATTCTGAAGATTAGGCCCAAATGAGTCAAAGTAATATGCTAGAGGTTACTAAATTTCGATTGGATAAAACTAGAATATCTTTTTTGAGAAAATGCATAAAATTGTATTATAGAATCTAATATATATAGTGCAACTGATCCATTGCAATATATTGAGGACAATGATGTGTGGAAACGTTACTGATAAGTTGTTAAAATGGATACATATAAAATATATTACACATTTAACATTTGAAATGAAATAATAATATGGTATTTAAAAAATATGAGTCCCTAAACAAGCCAAATTAAATAAAACAATTTGAATTTGAACATATTCTATATTTTGTTCATTTCTTTACTTTCAGTCGAATTTGGGACACAGCTTCTGGCCAGTGTTTAAAGACATTAATAGATGATGACAATCCACCTGTATCCTTTGTGAAATTCTCCCCAAATGGAAAATATATTCTTGCTGCAACATTGGACAACACTCTTAAATTATGGGACTATAGTAGAGGAAAGTGTCTTAAGACATATACGGGACACAAGAATGAAAAATATTGCATTTTTGCCAACTTCAGTGTTACAGGTGGAAAGGTAAGTTAAGTTCAAGCAAATCAAAGTTATGGCATTATCATAGTTTTCTTCTGCTGTGATTATTATATATTATATTTATTATCATCATTATCATCATCACCATCATCATCATTATCATCATCATTATAATCATCATCATCATCATCATTAAACCTATTAAAGTTCACTGCTGAACATGCCCTTCCTAAGTCTCAAAGCATGCTTCTAAGCTACCTACATTTATCGACTTCCTGAATCTTACCAGGTTATCAATCAATCTAATGGGGTGCCAGCCTACTCCACTTAAAGGCTGCTGTTCTAGAAACTTTCTATCCCATCGGTTTTTGGTTCAGCTAGATAAATGGCCAGGTTATTGCTAGTTCAGTATAATATATCTGTTCAATTACCTCTGTATGTATGTAGTCTATGGGATATTAAAGCCTTTTCAGAAAACGGCTAGTTCATCAGGAAGTTACATAATTGTAAACTCCTCCATAAGAAAGTTATAATAACTATATAAGCCTATAAAAATATTTTAATTTAAAATAAAATGAATGTTTTTATATTATAAAATATGTTATTTCTTTATGATTTGTGACCTAATTAATAACAACGAAGTTCAGGGAATATAATTACACAATGGAGTTTTTATTGTAAGTGAAAATATGAGATAGCACTAATTTAAATGTTTCCTGTTGTCTTTTTACAGTGGATAGTATCAGGTTCAGAAGATAATCTGGTTTATATTTGGAATCTGCAATCAAAAGAAATAGTTCAGCGACTTTCAGGGCACACTGACACAGTGCTGTGCACTGCATGCCACCCCACCGAGAATATCATAGCTTCCGCTGCATTAGAAAATGATAAAACTATCAAGCTTTGGAAAAGTGATACTTAATAATATATTTTGGTAAGTTTTTTAAGAGGTATGATGGAGATTATAAAGTACTTTACTACTTTGGTGGTGGCTCATCACTCACCAAAAAATCCAAGAGCGTTATCTTTGGGGAATTCCAATTAAAGTTATAGCACCTATAATAGACACAATCTCAAAATTAAAGTGTGTAATGAACTTACAGTCCACCTCATAACTTTACTTTGGTTTTGACCTTGAAATGCTATAATGGATGGAGTATGGATTCAGTGTCTGTTTCTGTAAATGGCTCCTGCAGTCCATGGACACCTGCAACCTTCTCTAAAGCAAAGAAGGCTACAGATGCATTATGACCTCTAAGATGGAATGCTTCACAACTTGTAACTGGATTGGCTTTATTGGGTATAGACTATATTGGGTTTAAACATAGTAAAGCTACATTAATTGCATATTTGTAGCACAAATGGGTCGGCTCGACCGGGGAAGGACCACGGTCTCACAGAGAATACCAGCGTATAATAGTATATAGTGTGTTTTATATGGTGAGTGTAGGGAACCAGAGACCCTTTTTACTGGAACAGAGGCATTCCATCTTAGTCCTCATGACTGACAATGCATCAGCATTTTTATTCACAAATGTAGATAGATGTAGATGTACATGGGTCACAGTAACCATCGTGTGTGTGTGTGTGATTGTGTGCTTGCTTGTCACCTTTATCCTATAAAAAAAAGAAACCCTTCAGATTGGAACACGGCAGTGCAGACACTGCTATTTAATGACAAAACTAAGTAAGAGGGTGGTACCTACTCAGATAGGCTCCCAAGCAGAAAAGGAGTCCTACCACCCACCTAAAATAGGGAAAGTATTGGATATGTTGATTCCTGACTTATGTAAATTATAGGTGATAATAGATACAATCTCAAAATTGAAGTGTGTAAATTTAATTAAACATACTAGTCATGCCTATACCCCAAGATTGAAGCTTGGATATAGTGTTTAGAAGAATTGAAGCCCCAACTTCAGAAAGTGAAATTACTTAATTCTTCTAATTTTGCTGTTACTTTTTATTAAATGTCCAATCTTTTATGAACTTATAATTACAAGCTCAATGTAATAACTAAATTGTCATCAAAATATGTAATTACATGAAACATTTATTAGCCTATTTTGCCACCCTTAAGTTTTTTTTTTCCAAATTTATATGGGGCCACTCCAGAAGTATTATCTGTTTTATAAAAAAAAGAATAATTAAAATAGGGTATTACACCCATTTTCAAAAAGTGTTTTAAATGAATGCTAGAGTGATAATGAACAACTATAATTTTTATATAATTTTTTAAAATTGTAATAGTGTTATAAGAATTACTTTTAATATATCGTTTAAAATTTTCGCACAAAAACGCTAGCCGCCATGCTGTTCAGCTCGTGACGTCACTGCTCCAGTAAATAAAGCGATTTTGCTAAGGAATAAGATATTTTTGGTTGTTTAATAATTACTTATCATCTTTATCATTGCTGTATTGTGCCTAAATGCAAAAATACGAGCATAAGATTGCCAGTGTCAACTGGTTTAAATATGAGAAATACTTGGTTAAAACTGGCATGAAGAGACCTGAAGATATTGTCTATAAAAACTAGACAATACTTCTGTAAAGATCACTTTGATGTATGACTTATATTTAACAGTCGTTTATACAAAACACACCATCATGAGATGATAGGTATCCTAGTCAAATTTTGTTACAGATTAGGTGTGAGATTGTAATCATAATAAACATAACTGTATATTATCAAAAAGCACTCTGACTTAATTATGTGGGCTCCAGCCAGAGGTTGCAAAAAAAAGCAATCTTTATTTAATATATATTTAATTTAAAGTAATTATTACAATTAATTCTTATAACTAAGTGAGGTGACTCTAATTCGATGTTTGAATGTAGAATGGATTCACACGGTAAAATATTAGATCCAGGTAATATAAGACAGTAGACACGTTATGCTGACACGGCGCCTCGTGATCGTCGTAAGCCGATGCAACGCAGCAGATTGCCTGGATTAGGGCTGCGTAACACCTCCCCCCGAAGAACAGCGACTATGGAAGACCTTGGTCGTGAATTGAGCTGGGAGTTGATCGGGATCAATCTTCTCAGTGTCTGGAACAGCGTATACCCTTAATGATTTAGGATGGTCCTCTTCTGAGTTCCTTTGCGTACCTCCAGTTAGCTTCGGCTTGTATCTTCTATAGAGTATGCATAGAATCAGTGCACCTGCACTTATTATTAATGCGTAAAATGGTATTGTAGTATGATATAGACTGTAGTCATCGTTTCTTCTTAAATTCAATGGCGATTGCTGGGATATTTTAGTGTTCGTTGCATGAAGATGTTGGAGGTTTATTGAATTTAGTTTATATGCCGATGCAGAAGATGGGATGCTGGTGTGTTCCTCAGGTATGTCCATTATCTTTAAGGCTTGTCCCTTCAATCGATCTTTAGTATTTGAGATCGAGAATAGTGGCGTTTCTATGTAGCATTTCAGAGGGACAATAACGAGATAACTACCTTGAAGTATTTTGTAGAGATCTTGTCCACAGGATAGATGTACTTTCGTTGGTGTGGGGAAAGTGATGGTGTAATGCTTGTCGTCCAGTTCTTCGTAAGCTGGTTTATCTAGGGTGACTGTATACGGGTTACATACTGCATTCGTCTGTTGTTTAGTGATGAGGTGATGGATGCAATCAGGGGATGTTTGACCTCTCAGGCTCCGCTTTTCTTTACAGATGTACCATTTACTGGTCTTCGGGCATTCTGCCTCTATGTACTGAAAATCTTTCTGATAAATGGCTAGGAATGGAAAGGGTGGTGTGAGGATTTCGTGTCTCTTGTTAGGAACAATAGATAACTTATACATATCATATATATGGGGTAATAGAATTGGGAACTTAAATACTATTACTATTTCATTTCCTACATAATATGAACCTAATCTAATAATATCATAATATTCCCTAATATCTAAATCTCCTACCTTTTTATTTCCATAAAGTTCGGTTGCTCTGTTAATCATTATTCGGATAGATTTTAAATTAACTATAGAGTGGTGCATAGTGTTAGCTCTTATAAATGCTAAGTTGTTCTGTAACTTAATTAATTCCTGTGAAATGGAATCAACGTTATCACTAAGGATCATTAGTACTTGTCCAAAATGGGCATATTTAATTAGGTCATAGTCTCTGGTAGCCTCGGATTGATTTATTTTACCTATTAGTATTTCTAATTTATTTTGATTATCTACAATGCTATCTATTATTCTGGAGTATTGATTTGATAAATCTTTAGTTAGGCTTACATGATTATTAAATTCCGTAACGATTTTATTTTCGTCTTCGTGGATGGATTTTTTAGCACGATTAAAATGATCTGCATCTGTATAATCAAGGTTACCAGTTATACTTTTTATGATGGAACCGAGACCATCTACAAGTCCTCTTTTCTCACGGTTCGTTTTAAAGCTACTCAACTGTATGGTGACACTTTCAAGCTTATTTTTAAGATAATCAATATGAGGCTGAAATAACGAATTGGTTATGTTGTTAAGGTTAGGGCTAATACTGATTAACTGTGTTTTAACTGAATTTACTTTATCTCCTAATTCCTGGAGATTTACATATTGCAGAAATGCATGGTAGTGGGATAGGATTCGAGCGGGGCCTAATTTGAAGGGTAATATACCAGGTCCATCGCTAAGACTTTCAAGTCTTATCTCCTGCATTAGAGCTGGTCCCAGAAGGAGATGAAGTACCAGGAGAGTCCTGTAACAATTGGTTCGTTTTAGGTATTCTCTTCAATCGAGTTTTTGCTACGGGGCCTCGTTTTTTCTTTGTATAAATGTGAATTGGGAGGTTTGCCATAACTGTGTCGTGTGTGTATCGAGGAGCTAATTTCTGACGGGATGCGAATGGATTTTTTATAAAGATTTGTTGTTCCGGGGAATATTCAGCTTCCTGTTCTCGGTTTTTATTGCGAGTATTAGTCAAGTCTTTACGCATGTCGTTACATAGATCGTGAATAGCTTTATAGGTCTCAGTCATTCTGTCTTTGTGGTTTACGACGTACTGTTGAAGTAAGTGGGCGGACAGATCTATGTCAAAAGGATCGCGAGGGTCAAAATGTCCTGTAATTACTTCTATTGGTTTGCATTTTGTGAAGCTATGTATACTATGATTGTAAGCTAATAGGGCATAGGGCATAAGGTTAATAGCGGATTCATTCTTTTGATTTATCTTTAAAATACGGAGATGTTCTAATATGGTGGCGTGAAATCGTTCAACGATACCATTTTCGTTGGGTGCATGTGGGGCTACTCTATGGTGCTGAATTTTATGAAGTCTAACGAATTCTGCAATAAGTTGGTTGGTAAACTCAGGGCCGTTATCGGAAACTATGGTAATTGGAATTCCATGATGTGTGCAGAAAATTAGTAAAGCTTGTACTACACTGACAGCAGTGCCGTCTCGCAAATAATACGCCTGAGCATATTTAGAAAAACTATCGACTATTGTCAAATACTTTTCCCCTTGAATTGTTAATAGATCTACGTGAACTAGTTCAAAAGGCTTAGAAGCTGGTGGTACAATTTTAAATTTCTGTTTAACTGGATTGCGGTCGTATTTAGCTTGTCCGCATACTGTACAGTCATTAATAAATTTAGTGATATGCTCTCTCATTTTCGGCCAGTAATATTTGCGGGACAAAGCCGAGAAACACTCGTTAATGCCTCGATGGTTCGTCTTTCCATCGTGATATTTATGAATGATTTCTTGCTGTCTTAAATACTCCCTAACATTTTCCAATTCAGTTTTTGTTAGAAAAAGGTTAAGAGATGAACTTTTAAAAGACTTTTGTATGATTGGTATGACAGTGTACATTGCAGAGTTTGGATTAATGAGTAATCCTGTCCTAATTTTCGGATGGACGTATTCTTTTATAGCATTAATGACATCCTCTTCTATGTTTGATTGAGC